GGGGGGGGAGGGAGGAAGGAAGGAAGGAAGGAAGGAAGGAAGAAGAAAGAAAAAGAAAGAAAGAAAGAAGAAAAGAAAAGAAAAGAAAAGAAAAAAAGAAAAGAAGAAAGGAAAGGAAAGGAAAGGAAAGGAAAGGAAAGGAAAGGAAAGGAAAGAAAAGAAAAGAAAAGAAAAGAAAAGAAAAGAAAAGAAAGAAAAGAAAAGAAAAGAAAAGAAAAGAAAAGAAAAGAAAAGAAAAGAAAAGAAAAGAAAAGAAAAGAAAAGAAAAGAAAAGAAAAGAAAAGAAAAAAAGAAAAGAAAAGAAAAGAAAAGAAAAGAAAAGAAAAGAAAAGAAAAGAAAAGAAAGGAAGGCGGGAGGAGATGGGAAGGAGGAAGTGAGCAAACGAGGGAGGGAGGGAGGAAATGGGAATGAGAAGGAGAAGGAGGGAGGAGGGAGAGATGAGAGGAAGGGAGGAAGGAAGAAGAGGAGACAAGAGGAAGAAGATGGGTAGGAGAAGGAGTGGCAGAACCTGGGGGTGGACTCAAAAGAGGCACCAGCCTAGAATCCCTACGTAGCCACAAGCTGACTAAAAGAAGGGGAATGGAAAGGGAAGGAAGGAAAGAAGGATAGAATGAGAAGGTGAGGGGAGGGAGGGAGGAGGGAAGGAAGGAAGGAAGGAAGGAAAAGAGGGAGGGAGGGAGGGAAATGTGATTTGGCCGGGTCTCTCCTGGGGCTCACTCGCTCGCTCTTTCTTCCTCCCTTCTCAGGATCTGGTAAGCCTGAAGATCCCCGAGCAATTCCGCCATGCCATCTGGAAGGGCCTCCTCGACTACCGGCAGCTGCACGACTTCTCCTCGCCTCCGCACCTCCTGCGCACGCCCAGCGGCGCCTCCACGGTCAGCGTGGGCTCCAGCGAGGCCCGGGGCGAGCGGGTGATCGACGCCGTGCGCTTCACCCTCCGCCAGACCATCTCCTTCCCTCCCCGCGACGACTGGAGCGACTTCAACTTCGACTTGGATGCCCGTCGGAACAAGCAGCAGCGCATCAAAGAGGAAGGGGAGTGAAGCCCCTCCCCGCCCCGCTCACACACACCCCGCCACCACCACCCTGTTCCGGCCAGCCCGAGGACCCTCCCCAACCCGAGGGTCTCCCCAACTGCTCTGATTCTTGTTCTGAAAAGCGGCATGCCACGAACTCATTCACGCACTCACTCACACGCCCTGTAGCTTTGCCGGGTTTTGGTGCTTTGGCTTAACAAGCTGGGCATTGTGGCGGTGTTCTCTCTCTTTTTTTGTGTGTGTAAATCACAACTGGTGTGCATGAGGGCTGGGTGGCTTTTCAAGTTTAAAAAAAACAAAAACATCCATACAAAAAATGGATCGTTTGCCTGGCAAATTACGGCTTTCCACATTTCTGGGAGTTGACGGATCCTTGGTTGACTCGAGGCCATCTTGTGCGGGAGATCTACACACACCACTTTTGTTGTTTTCACACACCACACGTGCTGCGGTTGTGGTCTTTCCTGGGAAGAGTTGCCTGGATCTCTTGCTGAATTGATCCGTTTTCCGGTGCCTTTGGATCCCCACTTTCAGAGCAGGGGTGGGGGGTCCCAAACTTATGGACTTCAACTCCCAGAATTCCTCCTCCAGATATTTCTTTCCTCCTGTCCCCCCAGCGTGGAGAGACTACAGCGAAAGGGATGACAAGAGAGCAAGCAGGCCAGAATGGGGTATCCCTAATCAAAATGGTGCATTTAGTGCCAGGGAATTCTGGGAATTGAAGTCCACCCGTCTTCAAAGTCACCACAATTTAAAACCAAAGTCATTTTCAACTGACGGTGTTTTTTGTTTTTTTTTGCTTTTGAGTTTTCAAATTGGGAGATGAGAACTTTCCAGATAAGACAAAATGGGGTGTGATGGACGTTGGGTGCGTGCGGTAGGTGATTCAGCGGCACCCTGATCCCTTCTGTTGCAGCCACATGGGTAGGATGGTCCCTGAAGGAGACAAACGCCGAATTTACCGGAATTTACCGAGTGGCTGAAAAACCAGAATCTTTTGAGTTTGGCTCTTGCAATCCCTACGGATTGTTGCTTTGCACCAGAAAAAAATGGATGCTCTGGGTTTTGTTTGTTTGTTTTTCACCCTAGTTGCAATACCCACATAGGTGTAGTAGCCACACCGCATAGTAGCATAACAGCCTCTAGTAGTAATAGGCACGTAAGTGCTGGGAAGTTAGGTGCTAATCCGAGATAGTTGGAAAATGGCCTGGGAGGAAGGTTAAATTGGAGGTGCAGGTGGAGAAGGGGCTTCTCCCACCCACCCAGAATAACCCCCCAGGCTGCCCGGAGGAGAAACCCTGTTGTGTTTTCCACAGTTGTGGGTTCCCTTTGCTCGCGCTAGTGCAAAGTCACTTCTGGCCACAGCGTCCGCTCTGCCACTCAAACCGTGGCACCCGTTTCCGACTTTAAGGTCCTGTTACACGTTCAGAATTTTTAAGGTGGTGTTGGGGTTTCCTGGGGGAGGGGAGAATAAGGAGGAGGGGGGCCCTCTAGGAAGGTCGCTTGGGAAGGGGACCGAGGGGAGGGGTCTTTCCTTCTGTTGGGGTCCACAGCCTGCCAGATCTTTCTTGGAAGCCAGGAGATGATGGCTCACCCACCCACCCACCCGCTTGGCTTCTCTCTATCATTTCAATGTAGGGCGGGGTGTCTTTGGGGCGGCTTTATCCGTCCTTCCCTAGCTGTTCTTTCAGGCCCTTCCTTTCCTCTCTCCCTTCTTCCTTCTCTCTGTCCCTCCCTTCTTTTCACCATCCTTCCTTTCCCTTCCCTCCCTCCCTCTCTTCTTTCTCTATGCCTCCCTTCCGTCTTCCCACAGTTCCTCCCTCCCTCCTTTCTTCTCCCTCCTCCTCTCTCCTTTCCCCTCTATCCCTCCCTCCCTTCTTTTCTCCCTCTATTTCTCTTCCATCCTTCCGCCTTCCCTCCCCTGCTTCCTTCCTCTCTCCCTGTCCCCCTTCCCTTCCCCTCCTATTCCCTCCCTTCTTCCTTTCCTTCCCTTCCCTTCCTCTTTTCCTTTCTTTTTCCTTTCCTTCCC